CAGTCTCCTTGACACAGCTCCCTCTCTCTTAACCAGTGACCATCTTCTCAACTTTATCTTGTGAATCCCTTGATTGCATGCCAGACCTTAATGTCATGCTCCCTGATCATGTGGTTGCCCCTGTGGTTGGCCCTATGTGGCTGTACGCATGTCCCCCCTTGAGTGGTAACTACCCATGTGATGCTGAGCTTGGTCCTCTTCCTTGCATGTGATTGTTTCCCATATGCTTCTCCTTCTAATGCCAGTAACCTCCTTTCCTGGTCCTCCAATTGCTTCCTCGTGACAAGCGACCCGTTCCGTACCAACAGTGCTCATCGGCATGTGTTTGGTAAAACATACTGACTAGGCTTGTTCTGATCAATCCTCGTGAGATTAATCAGAACCCCCAAACTTGGTTGGTCTCACAAATTATATGGGCCACCAACCCGATCAGATTGTCAACACCCGATGCTCGCTTCAGATCATTCTGTGCATGCTTCCTGCGCAGGCCCTGTGACATCGAGGTTTATCCCCTTCTTCGTGCTTGTGGCTGCTAGTCCGAAAGTTTTGTTGTCGACCCAGGTCTTGGCATCATGATTCTCATCTGGGTCTGATGTTGGTTCCATGTCTATGTATTCACACAACGGTTCCTGGTCCTTCTCATCAAATAGGTTTTCGTCTGAATATGCAAAGTCACCGGGGTCCTCTTCACTCCTCAAGGTTGGCAGGGGTCACATATCAATTGGTCGCCATTTGGTGCAATCTGACCAGGACTTAAACTCCAGGAACCTTGCCGAGTTGCTCCAGAAGATGTTTGGTCGATAGTCGGGGCTGTAGAATAGCCATCCCTTTCTCTCCAAACTATATCCTATAAAGATTGCTGCAACTGCTCATTGGTCTAGTTTCATGCTATCTCGCTTGGCTTTTGGAATGTTTACCCAAGTGAGGCATCCAAAAACACAGAGGAGCTGGATGAAACATTTTGCCAATCTTCCAAACATTACTTCATAGGGTAGTTCATCATTGACACTTGGGGTCAGGTTCATCTTGAAGGCAGCTGCTTGGATGGCATATGGCCAGAAGCTCTTCAGCAATCCTCTCTGCATTAGCAGTGATCACATCTTCTCACTTAAGCTTCTGTTCATTCTTTCTACCCATCTGTTTTGCTTGCTATTGTATCCCATGGTGGTTTTCCACTCTATCCCTTTGTCTTGTGACCATTCCAGCACTTTGTTGCTTTTCCACTCAGTTCCTTGATCAGACCGGATTGCTTTTAGACTCCTGCCTGTCTGAGTCTCAAGGAACGAGACTATTCCTTTCAGTTGTATGAATGCTTGAATCTTTCGTAGCAGCGGTTGCACATTAACATACTTGCTATAGTCATTGACAGCTACTAGTGTGCAGGTGTGCTCTGTTGCATGAGATGTGTCGATGACCAAGTCTATGTGCATGAGTTCGAGGGGAGTGGCAGCTCTTTCTCCGCTGCCTTGCCCCATTCTAGCAACCATGCTCTTAGACCATATACACTGCTCACATGTAAGAGCTGTATCTGGGTCTGCTTCTATTGCAAATTCATTTCCTAGATTCTTGATGATTGTTCAGGCTTTGTCTTGACCTGGATGTCCTAGATGCTCATGCCATAGTTGTTTCGTTGAAGTTCTGGGTTTCTTTTCAGTTAATTTGAAGCGTTCATCAACACCTTCAAATGGCTGTGTTGATGTTGTCATTGCAGCCTCTTGCCATGTTTCACCTTGGAACTCTAGCAGCCCACATTCGTCACTCTTTGATATCTTGAATAGTGTTCCATCCGCCAGGTGTATCTGTCCACCTGTATTATCCAGGATCACTCGTGCTCCCTCATCTGTTAGAGAATTAGTTGACAATAAGTTGACATTGAGATTTCTAACATACAAGACATTCTGGAGTAATACATCTCCATACTTGGTTGATATGCTAGCATCTCCTACAGCAGTTGCCTCCAAGACCTCACTTCCAGCAGTGAAGATGCGCTTTTGGCAGGTCCTTGGGTTAATGAGCATGCTGTGATTGTTGACCATGTGGAAACTAGCTCCCGAATCCAGGATCCAACAGGTTGTCTCCTTTGGGTTTGGGATCTTCTGCCAACTTGGGGTGAGAGAGCACCAGGCTTCCTAGTTGGACTCCGTGAGAGGAGAATCCTTAGGAATGCTGACTGCAGCATCACATTGTCTAGCTCCATGTCTGATTTGCCTGCATACATAGCATTGAATCCTTCGTGGCCTGTTTCCAGCCCTTGTGTCCTCACTGCTATTGTTGGTGTTGGTTTCCTGGGTTGCTTCACCTTGGTCGTCACTACTGGCAATCCTGGCATTGGCTTGTCAAGGATCCAACTTTTGGCTAGGCACACTCTCCAATGCCAACTGTCATGCACTCAAGGCAGTGGTGAGTGCATTGAAGCTGAGCTGATGGACTGTGGTGACTGTCTCTCTATACACAGGGTGGTGAATTGTGCATTTGTGAAGGACAGAGAACAGTGTGTCATCTGCGAAAGGTCTTCCTAGGATGCTCCCTTTGGCCTGAATAGCTCTGACCTCCTGTATTAGTTTTCAAGCATCAGTGTTGAACATCTTGACGTCACCTAACTGGGTGATTAAGGCTAGCCAATGGGAGGTCCTAGTAGCTTCGTTTCCTAGGCTGTTTTCGATCTTACCCGAGACTTGGTGAAAAGTAAGATATTCCCTGATGATATCCAGGAGGAGGTAGTTGACATTGTATTCACCTATGGTATCGATGGTACCACGTACAGCATTAGTCAATGCATTGTTGAAGGATCTGCTCCATTTCGGGTGGTTCACATTATACACTCCCTCAAGATGTTCCATAGTGTGTGGTACAGTCTGAAGGAAGGACTTTATGTGGGCACTCCAGCTGTAGTAGTTCTGGGAGGTGAGCTTTGGGACTGGTTCAAGTAGCTTAGCTAAGGTGCAGAAACTGTATTGTTTGATGATGTCATCATTGTCTGATTCAGAATCAGGTTCATCTTCCACCTCGTTGTCATTGTTGGCTATGGTCTTGGCTTGAGCTTGTTGGATGGTTGTGGCCTTTCTTCCTCTCTTTGATCTCTTGGCGATCTCGCTAGCACTAGCTTGAGGGTCGCACCATGATAGATCATCATTCAGCTTGTGACTTCAGACTCTTAATCAGTTGAAGTTATGCAAAACACTGCTTCGTCTGGGCTATGTTCTAGCTCCTTTCACACAGGTGTATCTTAGATGCAATGCTTGAGAGTTTATGAACTACTGCTACAGAATTGTGTGTATATATACCTTTGTTTGGTCCATGAGATCATCTATCATTACCCTCTGAACTGTGTGTATCACAAGGTGCCTTGGTGTTGTCCTCCTCATGCCTTGGTGTTCTCTTTCGTGGGTGTCTCCTAATTGGTTGCCACACAATTTACCATGCATGCAGGCCATTGGTCTGTCAGCCACTCGGCTTTCCTGCATATTGGTTATTCCAGTGTATCTTCAACTTTCATACTACTTGAAAGAACGAGAAAAGAGAAAAAGATTTTATTTATTTATTATTATTATTATTTATATCAGGCCGAAATTGGCCTTGCTATCATTGCAAAATTGAGGAAAGTGAAATAATACACACCGGAAACCAAAAAAGGACCTTAGGCTAGGACCAAACCACTTAGCAAATGTTGCTCTTCCAGCATTGAGACCTCTAGAAGAGGTGACCCCCGGGTCAAGTGAGTGAGAAAGCCGGATACAATGCCGTCCAAACTCCATCCAAGAGCAGCAGACCGCTAGTCAAGGAGAGGGAAAAAAGGAGGGAAGGAAAGAGAGATACTTGAACCTCTCATAAGATGCCCCAGTCGTTGCTGGAGTGAAGGTGCTGGCGGCGGCCACCAGGTGAAGAGGGGTGTGACAGTGTTCAGACGGCTAACGGCAGTGTCTCGGATGAAATGAGGCACAAAACCAGTGGGCTTGAGGACATGCGTGTGTTCCTTTGGTGAGGATGGCCCCTGCGCTCGCTTGTCGCAATTAGGGACTGGCGTAGGAGCGATTGAAAGGCCTTTGGCTCGGTCAAAGGGTGCATACTGGTGTTTGTTTTGCCCCTGCAAGAAGCGAGGGCTCCCCAACGTTGCTCTAAAGTTGTGACTAGCCGAAAGAGAGATCGAATTTGGTCGAGATTTGGTCATGTTTGGCAGGTCTTGGATGAGAATGTCAAAATGGGAAGTGTGTGGCGAAATGGGCAGTGTGTGGCGAAAAGGAGGAGAGAAGTGACTTTGGCTTCATCGACCTGCGAAAATTCTGACAGCATCTTGTTCTCGCTGAGCGCTTCTGGTGTGTCTCAGTGTTTCGCAACAGAAACAATGCACGCTCAGGACGCGAACAGACAAAAGAGGAGCGCGTCTAGCTCCGGGGCCAGAGCTTTTGAAAGACACACTCGTCCAGAACCTTGTTCGCTTCCTTTGCTCTCCACGCATTAGTTATTGTCGCGTGCATGCACGTCTGCAGATCCTTTCTGTTCTCCTGTGTCTGTACGAGCTTACTTGCTGGCATCTTGGTCCGCCAGAGCTCGCGGTTTCCAGTCACTTGTTCAAGCACAGTCACGACTTCGACTCCTGAGTGCCGGTACAGATGAGACTGCAGCAGGCACTCCTTCTACGCAAGGCTTCTTTGAAGAAACGATGCATTTCTCTGCACGCCTGCTCGCTCATAGGTGCTACAGTAAGCCTGCCGAATCCAGCATAAGCAAAAAGGGAGGCTGCTCGCTGCGTTTTCGTGTGTCAACCTCAGCCGTTGTCCTAACAGCCTATGCATGCCAGGCCACCAACACGCCTCTCCAGTCCCGCATTGTTCAACCACGACCTTCTGCTTCTTCTATGGCACGTCGAATCATTTGTCCAGCAAACTCGTGTCGTTGCTGCAATGATGTCTAGAGGCACACCACATCATTGATTGCTTTGAAAAATTGAAATTCAGGAAAGGCGAATATAACAGAAAAACTTCAAAAACTTTGATGTTGTAGGCAAGATGGCCGAGTGGTTAAGGCGCAACGTTCAGGTTTCCTGCTGAAAATTTCTTTCCGTTGTCTTCGGGCGTGGGTTCGAATCCCACTCTTGTCACCATTCTTAAAATTTTTGCCGATTTTTTGGCCATCACGAACGCCGAATTCTGAGGGAAACACCCTCTCCAAATTTCGAACAAGATCAATCAGAAATAGACGAGTAATGGTGTTTAAACCCTTTTGAGAAGATGGTTCTTGACGCCTGTCAAGCTCCGCCATCTGCAACACTGTGAACCGGGTTGCAAAGCCAGAAGCCGAAGAGAAGCATTCCATCCCGAACCTTGGCTTCACACAGAGGGATCTGCAGAAAGGCATAAGCGATACACGCAGGCACTCGTGCCTGTTCAACGCAGTCAATTCTGCAAAGTTGGGCTCGGCAATGACACCACCAATAAATTATACGCCATCTACGGTAGTTGGCAACGCAAGTCCACTCTGCCGATCTTTTGACGCTTGGCGTGCATTGCATTCGTGATTCTGTGATTCTGTGAGGCCAAGTATGAGCCGAGTGAGAAAAGGAACCAGAGCCGCCTCACTGCTCACTCTACCTATGTGTGAAGCTCTCCTGAAGCTGCGCTGCTCGCCTGCCAAAAGTCTTTGCAGGCCTACAGGGCCTGTCCGCTGTTCCCTCAGGTTCTCCATCTTCCCTTTCCTTGGCATACTTCCCTCACCATCCTCACCACTCCTTTCCATCCCGGTCCTCCTCAAAGCGCAAGGTCATGCACTGATATCATTCGTCTTCGTCGCTGGTCGTTCCCCTTTGATTGGCATCATCCTCGACCCCAATATCTTCGCCGGTTTCACCGCCATCTCCGCCCCTAATCTATACCCCTCTTTAGCAACGATCCTTACCTCTCAGCATCGCTCTTCGGTCACTGCAGTATCTGGCTCCCACAACTATCGCTCCTTGTGCTCCCTCTTCCAACATTCTCATAGCTGCTCCACATCATGATCGGCCTCCACATTCCCAAAGCTACTCTAATCAGCTTCCTTTTCACGCTTGGATCGACGTGTGCCCAGGCCGCACCTCTCCAAGTCACCCTCTCTGACAACCTTACAACATGTCAGCCCATGAAAGTCACATGGGACACATCAGTCGGCACAGCACCATGGACCGTCACAGTAGCACCGCTCGGCCATGTCCCTCTCTCCGTCTCACTACCATCCAACTACATGTCCAGCAAATCATGGCACTGGGGCTGGCACATCCCAGGCTACACAACACCCGTCTCTCAGGTCATCGTCGCAGTTTCCGATAGCACTGGTAGAGTCAGCGGCACTTCAGCCTTCTCCAGACTCACCAAGGCCGGATCTTGCTCAGCACCACCAGAACACCTCGACTTTATCTGGTACCCACCGTCATCTGCACCACGACAATGCGAAGATTGGCGAATCACAGTACAAGAGGATCGTGGCAATCTCGGTCTCAAGATGCCAGTCGATCTCTTGATCCTTCCTGAGAACGATGTGCCCACTCGACTTCGCATCGCAGATCAGAAACATAGCAGTGTAGATTGGATGGTCAACTATGCTCGGGGTACCAAATTTGCTATTGCTTCCTTTGACGCGGGTACGTCAGGGACAGGTGGTGTTGGTGGTCAAGCGTACACCGTCGGGAATGCAAGGTCGACCTCGTGCATCGGTGTTACTCAACGAGAGGCTGTTGCAGGGCTTCCAGCTGCGTCAAGTACTGCGGCACCAGTTGTAGCAGCAACTGCGGGGTCAGCACCATCACGAATGGCAACATCCCGCGTGCCATCAACGGCGACGGGCACCAATGCCAAAGCAACTTCTACATCGACATCTGCAGCAAAAGTGGATGCCGCCACATCAGGGCCAGGCCCTTCCAATGGCCTCATTGGTGGCGCGGTGGGTGGTGTGTTCGTTGCAGTCTTAGTCACTGGGTTGATCATCTGGTTCTACCGCAAACAGCGCAACACAAGGGGACCAGACGAGTACGGTGTCTACCCAAGTATCGAGAAGCGTGGCTTCTTTGGCGGGTTCGGTTCAGGTCGTTTTGCTGATCTAGTCGGTTTCAGCGGTGGAGCGCCTAATGGTGGCCGCTTTGGCGCGTCCACCGATCAACAGGGCGGTATCTCTCCGTTTGTCACCGGACGATCTTCGCCATGGAGGTGGTCGTCGAGACCCGTCCGACTTTCCGACAACCAAGACATGGCGCAGGTCACCGAGGATCGAAGGGCCATCATCAACCGTATGAACGAAGCAGGTAGCTCTGTCGGTCATTCCAGTTCAGTCAGCTTGCACAGGGGAAGGGACTCGATGGGTGGCAGCGCAGGTGGTGTTACTGGTCTCAATCTTGCACCGAGCGTGCATTCGGTCGTTCCTGATGATGCCCTCTTCCCGCCACCTATGTCGATGAATAGGGCGATGATGCCCAGTAACAGCGGCTCGAGCAGCAACTTTGGCGCAGGTGTAGGAGCTGGCGTAGGAGCTGGCGTTGGTGCTATGGGGATGAAGCAAAATTGGAACAGGGATCGTTCGGACTCTGGCAGTTCGATGCAGCGTGATCCATTCCGCAATCCTGCGAACGTAATCACTCCTCCGCCCAAGGAAACTCCTCTGCCTTCCTTCAGCCAACAGCAGCAGCAATACAGCTCACAACCACAACAATCCCCCTCCTCCTCCCAGTCTCGCCAACACCCAGCATCGCGCGACTCAATGGCAGCAATCGCAGGCCTCTCCCTCTCCCCATCCTCTAACTACGGAGCTCATCGTTCCCGCGATCTGACAGGCACCATCCCATCCAATAACCCCTTCTCAAACCCTCCTCACATCGAAGAGCAAATCCTTTCCACAATGCGCATCCCCCCACCAGCCCCAATCACTACCTCCCTCTTCGACCCATATTCCCACGCCTCACGCCTATACTCAAACGAAGAAGTAGCCCAACTCAACGTTGCTCTCAACGCCAACCGAGACGAACGTGCAAATGCTGCTACACCTACTTCGTTCACTTCAACGGGTAGCGGACCTAGATATGTCGACCCCAAGGAGTCAGCTGCGAGATTTAGGACATTGGAAACGCAGTTGTTGAATGAAAGGAAGAAGGTCGTTTCGAATGTTTATAGTGATTTGTCGGATGATGAGGGTGAGTTGCCGTACATGTCCTAGCGTAGTGTTGCTTGATCTTTCGTTTTCTTAGTTGTACACTTTGCTCTTCGCTCTTTAGTTTTATTGTCATAGACAACTTTGCTACCACGCAAGAAAAACAGCGACGCTAGAGCGCATGATTTGGGTGACTGGCACTGCATTGTAGAAATGAGCAGTGAAGCGCGCAAACAGCGCTGAGGATGGTCAGCCGAATCGTGCTAAGAAGCCCGACGAAAATAGCGCAGCACAACGGCAAAGAGGCATTCATTGAAACGAAGAAGCAGGTGGTTCAGCCAGATACAAGAGGGAAGAGCACCTTCGAAAAGTCTACATACCCTAGCTTCCTTACACCCATCTTTCACTACGCAAGTTTCAAGCCCCGTTCACCCTTCCGACGCTCGGAAAGACAACAACAATCTTGCACACGAAACCTCATGTCCGCCCACGCTGCAATTAAGGCTGGCAACCTCGCTGTCATCAGCGGCGGTGCCAGCGGTATTGGTCTGGCAGCAGCAAAGTACTACCTCTCTCAGGGCATGAAGGTCGCTATTGGCGACCGCAGCGAATCGAGCTTGCAAGCAGCGAGCGTGGCTCTCGGTGACAAGGGCGAGTCGTACGCAGGTCTACTCGACGTTTCAGACCAGACAGGCGTGTCCTTCTTTCGAAAGACCGTCCTTGAAAAATTTGGCGATGCCAAGCTAACCGTGCTCATGGCCAACGCAGGCGTAGGAGGCCCTACCAAGGCGTCCACATCCGAGGGATGGGAACGAATCCTTAGCACCAACTTCTACGGTGCGGTCAATGTGTAAGTATTGTGCTGAGGCGGTGCTGAGAACAGAACTAGCATGCGTAAGAGCTGACATGCGGACCACGTTTCGATGTCTTCTCCCAACATTTCGCAGGTGTCAAGCATTCCTACCAGATCTGAAGAAGCATGGACAAGAAGCATTGGTCATCAAAACAGGCTCCAAGCAGGGTATCACCACCCCGCCTGGCACAGGTCCGGCCTACAACATCTCCAAGGCAGCGGTCAAGGTCTTCACAGAGTCGCTCGCGCACGAGCTGCGTGAAGATAATTCGAGCAAGGTCGATGTCAAGCTTCTGATTCCAGGCTGGGTGTACACTGGGCTGACAGGTGCTAACGACGGCAAGCCCAAGGCGGATGGTGCTTGGATCCCGGAGCAGACGGTGGAATTCATGGTCGAACGCATCAAGGCCGGCTCGTTCTACATTCTCTGCCCGGATAATGAGACTCCACGTGAGGTGGACCTGGCCCGGATGGAGTGGAACGTCAACGATGTCATTCAGGATCGCCCAGCTCTCTCACGATGGCACGAGGACTACTCTACACAGTTCAACGACTTTGTGAAGAGTAAGACCTCCTGAATGTATGGCTTCTTGATCCATTGCAAGTAGTTGGAGTTCAGTTTGATGTAAGTGGTCCGAATGCGTGTGGGATATGGACAAATGTGGATAGGCAAGGCAGTATGAGCGGAGCGAAGAAGCCGTGGCTCGAAAAGCATCGCGAGACGTTGAGCCATGCTCGTGCGCGTCATTTTGCAGGTTGTTCTGGTGTGGAAGAATTTTGTGGCCCAAGCGTGTCAGTCGTTGCTGAATATAGCCTTGACGACAGGCAAGCATGAGTAAAGCTTGACGGAAGCCACAGGCCTCACAACCACGCCAGACAGACACTCACTCCATCCGAACACGTCTGTAACAAAGCTTCCTGCCACCACACGCCCATCCAACATTGTCTCTATCAAGAAGCCCAAGTTCTTCAAGATGACGCTCTACTACAGTATCGTGTTTGCACTCTTGTGCTTTGAGATGTCCATGTTCATGGTCCTCATCGTAAGTTGCCGTTGTTGAGCCCCATAGATTCAGAATGCAAGATGTACTGACTTGCTGTTCGCCTTCGATTTGCTATACAGGTTCCTCTGCCCTTCA